TTTTTTGGTGGCTGGTGCCTAAACCAAGGGGCTGTACATTGGAGCTGAGGCCGGAAAAGATCACATCCATGGTCTTCAGCCAGGATCTGCTTTGCTGGGTTCGGGGATTGAGGGTTTAGGTTTTAGGGTTTGATGGTTTAGGGTTTGGGGATTTAAGGTTTAGGGTTTAGGGTTTGGGGATTTAGGGTTGAGGGTTTAAGGGTTGAGGGATTAGGGTTTAAGGGTTTAGGGTTTGGGGATTTAGGGTTTAGGGTTTAAGGGTTTAGGGATTAGGGTTGAAGGGTTTAGGGTTGGGGATTTAGGGTTTAGGGTTTAGGAGCGCGGGTTAAGTTTAGGATAGGGTATGGAGAATCAGCTGGGAAAGGATAAGGAACCTTAAATGACAGCTGGGGCTATACTGGATTTGAATTCAGGTGCTTAGATTAAGCCATAATGTGGGTCACAAAGAAACATTAGGTGCGCCTTACAATGGCAACTGGAGTAGAAGCCCTATTTGTTTGCTACTTGTGCTTGCGTAGCTTCCATCACCAAGTAAAAGATGCTCACAGTGGAGGGTGGGCGTATATCCCTGGCCCTTCCAAACCTTAGGCTCAAGCCCTTGAGGCCGTAAGCCACAGTTGAAACCCTGAAAGCCCATAGCCCTCCTTAAGTAGATATTTTAAGGTTATGCCGGGATCTCATTATTCACTTTGAGGAGTTCCATTTTCTGCCTACTTCAGGGGGACTATAACTCTACATGCGAACGAAACCTTAATGCCGCGTTCCTCGAAGGATTCGTCGCTCTGTTTTGCGGGAGCGGCTTCGGGCACTTTGTACGTCTGGATGACGAGCACAGGCTTCCGGGGGGGCACGTGCACCTTTGCATACACATGTATGTGCATACGCACGTACGCATGTATGTATGTACATATGAAAATTTGCAGGTATGTAGGCATGCATGTATGTAGATACGCAAGTCTGCATGTATGTGTGTGTCTGTACGTACGCACGTACGTATGTATGTAGGTAGGCAGGCAGGCAGGTAGGTAGGTAGGTATGTATGTATATGTGCGTGTGTAATTATATGTATGTCTGTATGTATGCCCGTCTGTATATACGTATGTATGCCTGTCTGTATGTAAGCATGCATGCATGCATGCATGCATGTGTGTGTTTATGCATCATACATGCATGTACGTATGTATGTACGTAGGTATGTGTGTATGTACGTATGTATGCATACATGTTTGCATCCATGCATGCATGCATGCATGCATGCAGGTATGTACGTACGTACGTACCTATGTATCTATGTATGTATGTATGTATGTATGTATGTATGTATGCCTGCACGCACGCATGCATGCATGCACGCACGCATGCATGCATGCATGCATGAAATTCATGCAGATATTCATGCGTGTATGTGTATAGGCATGTGTATATTATATGGAGATACATATGCACCCAAAGCATGAAACTCCACAGCCATACGGGTCCGACGCGTGACATAGAGATATTCAATAGAACCTATTCCGGGTTTTGATATTTTGAAGGCAAAGGTGACAATTGACAGAGGGAGTTGAAGAAGCAGGAGAACAGTGGGGCAGTTCCTGTGGCTAATCGAGGGCCATATGCTCAAGCCACTAGAAACAGGTAGGTGATTTGGTCGTGAGCCTTTCCTGTCCGGTTCTCTCGATTTCCCCCCGCTACCGCTCCATCACCGGCAAGCGGGTTGAATATTCTGGTATTCCGTACCTACAAATGCATCGTTCTAGTTATTTCGGCCCCTACATTGCGCAGGCACACTTCTGCGATGTTGGCCGGCACACTTCCGAGAAATCACCCAAATTCTGGTGTCGGGTGATGGCGGCTTTCTGGTCACTGCCTCTGCAGATTCTGCGGTGCATGTCTACAACCTCGCAGACGTCCTTAGTGGCTTGCTCCATCTGAGTGAACCTCGGGGTCTATTCTCATCCCCATCCCCCCTAAACCCTAAACCCAGGTAACTACAAACCTAAACCTGGCACCTCAAGCCTGCTGGGAAGCCTGGGGTGCATTGAAGTCACGTTGAAGTCTGTTCTGCCAGTAATTAGAGGGAAAGTGTCAGTGCGTGTATAGCGCTTGTCAAGGAGGATTGGGGTGGGAAGAGCATCCTTCTCATGAGAAACTCCAATAAGTTATAATAAATTCATCAATTACCTCATGGCAATCCCCAAACAATTTCCTGGCAGCTGCTGGCCTCGGGTTCGGCGGAGATGCAGGAAGCCAACCAGGTCCAGCAATGTTGTAGTTGGATTGTATTATCTCGAATGCACGTCCAGCACAAAAGCATGTTCATGGCCCAAGTTGGAGCCACCCCTAAACCCAAAACCCAAATCCCAAACCCCTAACCCCAAACCCTAAACCCCTAAACCCTGACCCTGAATCCCCGCTCCCTGGAAGACCTTGAGATCAATTCCCCTACGCTCCAAATTCCCTCCAAAGCCAAAGCCCCCTCAAGCCCCTGCCTATGCCCTTGGAGACAAATACTCCCTTCCCTGCATTTTCGAATTCCCCACCCCTTAATACCAAATTTTCCCAAAATATTATAGTATATATCCACAATGATAAAATTTAAATATTAGGAGGGTGAGGGGGTTTACTAGTAGGGGAGGGAATTACTCAGGTGACTCGGGCGCCGCGAAACCTTTCCATTCCTGGTCTGGGCATTCCTTGTCGGTCACTTCTTTGGCCTTCCTAGGCGCGGGTTTCGGGCTTTAAGGCTTTGAGATTCGAAGCTGCAGGGCTTCAGGTTTTAAGGCAGGGAGATGTGGTGTGCCAAGTTTAAATCATAGGGATTCCCTAAACCCTAAACCCTAAACCCTACTCGGTTTAGGGCTGGGGCTTTACAAGGCTGAGGGTTCCCATGTTTGGATTAGGCTCTCTGATCTTAAGCTGTTTCAATCCTTCAAGATACTTGTCAACCTTCCTGCACCCCTTATATCAGATACTCCCTGGAAACGACTCATAGAGACCCTTCTTTACATACAGTGTGGTACAGTGGGGGAATTCCAGCGCGGATGTGGGTTGTGAGTTCTATGTTTCACTCGGACCTTCCAAAGTAAATCCTTTTTGGGTTTGGTGTTTGTTTTGGCCTAGGTAGGGATTGGACTTAAGGGGTTTGGGTTTCAGTTTTTCAGGCCTACTCTACACTTCTATCTCTGCAGCTGTTACCTGCAATGGGGTCCAAAGCGTACCCGCTCCCATCATTCCTTCGCAACCCATCCTAGAAGCCTAGAAGCCGTTCTACAAAATTCATATTGGGCCCACTACAAAGCAGCAAGACGATGCACACGGGGCTTTCCAAAATTAGGGGGGCCTTCTTGGGAAGCCCATGGTTAGATCAGGGGCCCCATGTTTGGGTTATTTTCATGTAGACCCAGACCCCACCTCCACGTATTCTTCCTTCAGTCAGGAACAAGCAGCATTTCGCAAGCCTCTGAATTCTCATTCACTTTCAACGCCTTCCTACCTAACATCAGGCTTAGGGTGTAGGATTCTGTGTTGTGGGTTTTCTGGTTTAGGGTCTATAGGGGTGGGGTCACAGCCCCCAAAGCCCCCAAAGTTCCGAAAAGCCCTAATCCTAGAAATCCTCAAGCAAAGAACCCCCTATAACCCTGGAAACCTCTCAATCCCTGAATCAGTAGAACCTCCTAAAACTCTATAGGAGGAAGCAGCACTCCCCGGCAAGTGGTTGCCACAGGGAGCCTGGATCGCTCCGTGAGGCAATTTAGGGGCTTTCAGTAGTTTGGGAGGGTAGAGGCTTTGGTAGTTTGGGAGTTTAGGACTCTAGAGGTTTCAGGATGTAAGAGGTACAGGGGTTTACGACCTTAGGCTCTGAATCGGGCTTTGGGGTTTATCCTAGGGCTAGTGCAGGTAGACTTTAGGGTTTCTTGCTGGGGTTTTCGTTCGAGTAGGGAACAAGGGGATGTAGCCCCTCTATAATCCTTAAATATAATGTATTCCCTTTTTCCCTACCGTAAGCCCCAAACCCCAAGATCTATAGACCCTAAAGACCAAACTCAAACCTAAACTTTATAATATATTCCCTGAAATTTATGGATCCTTGTGAGGCTCTGGGATGTCGGTACCGGCAAGCCGCTGGCTTCGCGCAGTGCCTGGGCCCTTGAAGTACCCTGGGGCTCTGAGTCTAAAGATACTATTTGCTTTCGACCTTAAAAAGGTTTTAGTGCTTAGGGTCAAATAAGTATCGCCAACTTTGGCTTCATTGTTCAACACCAGGGGTAACTGTCACTTGACGCAAGTAGGGGTCCTGCGAGGATCTTGAAGCCGAACGGTGGGGATCGGATAGGGGTCATGGAGGGACTGCGTGGGTGTACTGCGGAGTAGGAATCTATCTCAGTAGGGGTCCCATCCAACTTGCCAGATACAGCCCTTCTTGCGAGGGGTGGGTTCATTATTTGATTGGACTGTGGGCATCATGGGTGAGCGCGTGGAGAGTGAATCTGTTGATTGTTGCTTTCGTGCTTGCATGAATGCCGTTTGGAAGCTTGCCATCGTTTCTCTAGCCGATATTTCGCAATTATCATTTGGCTGTCCATGCAGGTGGATGGGCAAAGTTTTCTTCACAAAACGTTGCAAGTTGCAAGCTAAGTTATCCTTGTCCGCCACATCTCTAAGCCCAAAACCTGCCGGACGAACCAAGGTATGCCGGCCCAAGTCCACAGCCTCAGTGCCGGGCCCTCTGCATCTGAACTCTTCGTTGCTTCCGGCAATGGCGGACTTTGCAGTCTCGCCGCTGCAACTTGGATCCCAAACGAGTTTTTTGTGAGGTGGGTCTAGGCTAGGTCCCGGCTAGGTCGTCCCAGAAGGGGCCCCCAGGAGTCTGACCAGTTGCGTAGACTCTTTGTCAGCATCCATTCCAGGAAGAACAAGATTTCTCGCTCAGACTCGCTTATGAACACGAGCCGCCACAGAAGTCTTGACGTCTAATTCTTGGAGGTGCGGTGCAAGCCTGTAAGCCTGGTTGGTTTCCTTTGCAACTAGCTAGCTTGAAGCCTGAAGCTTGATTTGGTAGTTTCCCAATATAGGGGGACCCCAATATAGACCCCAAAATACTATAGTCCTTATTATAGGGACCCCCAAAATAGTACCCCTAATTTTGGGAAACCCCTATTTCTTGAGTAGCCTGGAGAAATCATCACTGCAGGCCAACTTTTCTGCGGACAGCTGTCCGTACATCGGTCACACTGGAGCAGTTCACAGCGCCTGGGCCATGGTTTAGGGACCCTAGGAAGCATTTAACTATAAGCATTTAACTTCTTTACAATAAGAACTCCTACCTCAGTGTTTAAATGCTTGGGTTTAAATGCTTCCTAGTCCCCCTAAATGGTCTGATGGAGCTGACTTGGGGGGTCATTTTAATGTTAATGGCTACCTAGGTAGCCACTAACCCCTTGGGGTGTCTCCTACCAAAAGGGTTCGCCTTTCTTGGGCAAGGGAAGTCAACAGCGAGGTGAAGGTCTGGGCAAGTGGGAAAGCATGCCGCCTCTTTGCATGGGCTGGCTCATGCGCTCGAAAAGGAAATGTGCGGAGGAAAATTTGATTTCATGTTCAGATGAAATTTACATCGGGGTTGCTTGACCGCTCCCTGTTGCGGAATCTGTGAAAGGCTTTCATCAGGTGTATAATCGAAACTATGTTTTTGAATTGTTCTGATTTAGGGCAGGTCGTCTAATCAACTGGCCATTGACTGACCATGCTCAAGAACTCGATAAGCACCGACAAGCAAGCAGTGCTTTAAGGTTGGGATTCACACAAGTCAGAAGTTATTGATCTTCAGTAGGAGGACCCAATACAAACAAAACCAACATCTTCCGCCAGCTTCCCCCTTGTCCTACCTAGACCTAGACCTCCTCCCATTGTAGAATGATCTGTAGCACGCAGAAACTTGCTAAAAGGAACCCAACACCTTTTCTGACAACCCCCCCCGCCCCTAGCCAGAGCTTCCCTCAGGACTTCTTATCCCCTCCATGTTTCATTTCCCAACTCTACAGCCTTTCACAATATCACTAGGAGCCCACAAGGGGTTCTGGGGAACACTGGGCAAGGCTGCGCTACGGCATCTGACGGTAGCCGCATTGCATCCTGCAGCGATGTTGATCGTGTCCGGATCTGGGAGACGCGAACTCGCCAGTGTGTGGCGCAACTACACACGAGTCGAGACATCAAGGCAGGGGGATGATCTAAGCGTATCTAAGCGAAGGACCTTGCCTCCCAGCATGTTGGGGTTTCATTTGGTGGCTACTTACCTATAGAGGCGGTTCTCAATTTAGAGGAGGTGATCTAAGCCTAAGGGGTTGACTCCTTATAGAGATTGTAGGGTTGAAAGCGTGGAAGCCGTCGCGCTCCTATGCTTTTGAAATCGAAACCCCTAAACCTTGCAACCCGTGGACCCTAACTGAAGTACCAAGCTATGCCGTAGCCCTACGAACTCTTAAGCCCAGACAACCTTAGCTCTGCGAGCACCTGAGTCTTTTGAACAAGCACAACTCGCAGGTCTCCGCGGTGAGAATTATTCGCAAGATGCCTCAGCTGCTTGATATGGTGACATTATGTCCCCTTTTCGAGAGTAGTAGAATTCGGTGGGCAGACAACCCCGCATCTGGGAGCTTCTCCCAAAGGTCCCCTGTAATACCTCCGAGGAAGTTTGTTGAAAACCTCTATGCATCAAATGTCAAAGTTTGAGAAGTAACTCACTTGAGCTGCACTCCGCCCTCTCCACTTTGGGGACGGTGATACAGGCAAACTCCAGCTTGAAAATCTTACGTGCCCTTGCTTGTCGCAGATGCGAGGTTACCCGGCCTTCCGCCTTTCCAACCATTCCAACGACTCTTGGGCAGTTTTAGAAATCATCTGCCAGTTCTGTGTATCAATCATTTGTGTACGTCCCCGCTTGCACCATCACGCACGGCGTCGCTGAATGTTGAAAACTTGAGGATGTCGAGCCCCCGACCGAACTCTAAGATCAAATGACGCTTTCTCAGAAGTGGGTCTGCAGTACAGTATGCACATCCCCAAATTCAGCATGACCCTGATGTGAAAGGCGTTCCAGAAAGATCCTAAAACTTGGACAAACTGCCCAAGCTCTTGCAGCGCGTGGAAGCCATCTGAGCCATAATCTCCGCCTTAATAAGCCCTATAGGCCCTATAGTATTCCCCTGTATAATCCCCCTTATATAACCCCCTTTAAGGAGTTTAGATCATGGCTCATCTGAGGAATGCTAGTGTCAGGGGAGGAGGTGCCCTCTGTCTCCAGATGCTTCTGGGCCTCAAAGGGATGTTGGGCTTTACTGGTTCGGGCCTAGAGTTGAAGTTTCGGGCTTGGGGTGCTGGGCAAGACTTTCTGTTAATCATCTGGGTTGCTGCTAACTAAGGTAAGTAAGTTTAGTTCCCATAAAATGGGTACGTGGTGAAATAATATAGGGTTATAATCATGGTAATTTCATCTAACTTCTTGCACAGCAACCCGGGTTCAGGGCGACAGTAGCATTTACCCCCCCACCCACCCGTAATATCAGCTACTTCCCTTTGTGGTATATTCAAGTATATTGGGGAGTATCTAATATTAGGGGGTTGGGGAGTGTTTAGTATTGGGGGTTAGCATCTAACCCTAAACCCTAAACCTAGAATACTGGGCATGTCTTGGTTTCTGTCCTGTTGCGCAACTAGCATCGTAGACGCGAGACTGGGCTCCAGTTTCCGTATCGTCGGAATATATCACCCAAAGGGTCCAAGTACCCCATGATTGGGTATTTGGGTTCGGGGTAGTCAGTAATTAAAGTACAGGTTTTGAGTCAGTATATGATCAATAGATACTTGGACCCTCAGCGTGACAGAGCCCCTACCATGAGACACACATGCATGTTGATGTTGGAGTTGTGGCGAGTTTCTTACCCTGTAGAGGACTGTTGGTAATCCAAAGGACGGAGGGGCAGGTATTTCGAGCTTGTGAAGCCGATGTATAAGGGAAGAAAGGAATTTTTGGGGGGGCATATTATGGTACCCAATCTAGAGTAAGATTGTATTTTTTGGTGTATAGTATTTTATGTAAGGAATATTATCTTACTAGGTTTAACCACAAAAAAACTACTCAAATGACAATCAACTTCTTGCAGCCCTCTTACAGCTACTCCTACTAAAGCACAGCTTCAACCGCTGACCAACATGATGAACTCTGCAGCCCTGGCTGTAATACAAGTACAAGAATAGTATATTAATGGTAATCTACATAATAAAAGTCGTAATATTCGTAACACTAGTAGTAACAGTAGTAGGAATACAATTAATAATAGTAACGTGGTTGATTGGCTTTCCTTGGGTTCTGGGGTTCCTCAGAACAGATTGTGCAGGCTTCTCTGGTCGCGATGCAGCGCTAAAACAGCGCATGAGCCCCTATACGAAGCTCGTTGGCTGCTGGAGTTCAGGGTTCTGGGCACAGCCTACCTTGGTTAGGCGAAAACCTCCTTGTTGCTCTGATTGCCAGGGTGCTCCAGTACCCCGCATCCCTGAGACCCACCCCCCAAGGACCTGGTTATTTGGTTAATACGGGCTCCGGCGCCAAGACCTGGATTTTCAACATAGAGGAGCCCCTACTAGATCCTTCGAGGCTTCTGGGACAGGCGAAATGCTCCCCTTCAAAAGCCTGAGCCCTAAGCAGCAAAAAACAGATTCCAAACCTACACACCAGCAAGCCATGAAGGAAGACCGATGACATCTTGGACCACGTGCAGTGGACCTCTGGGGCCGAAACATCGAAGCAGGCTGCAAACCCCGCAGAAGGAGACGGCCAGGAAGCTGGGCATTCCCCGGGCTGAAGTTTAGGGTTTATGAGGTTTAGGGTTTAGGATGGGGGTTATTTAGAGGTGGACAGGGGAATGGAAGCTCAAACGAACGACAAAATGGAAGCTCAAAAAACGAACGACAAAATGAAAGCTAGGTTAGTTTATGTAGGGGTATAGGAGAAGGGAGCAGAGAATTGCAAAAGCACATGAAAGCCTTCCAGGGTTTAGGTTTAGGGAGCAATTTTAGGCTTGAGGGTTGTCAGTAGGGAATGGAAAAGAAAATGGAATCTTCTGTATGGTTTAGGATTTAGGGTCTATGAAGCTAGTACTGGGTTTAGGGTTGTTCGTAGGGAATGGAAAGTCCAGATGAACATGGCATGAAACTGCGGGGACTGTACAGGAAGAAGAGAGCTTTCATGGGCCTCAACAACCATTAACACTAAACCCTTTAACCCAAAACCCTATAACCCAAAACCCTATAACCCTAAACCCTATAACCTCACTGAGAGATGGCATTATAAATTCATTTTGAGCCCTAGGGGGGATAGCTGTGGGACTTGGGAGTTTAGGATTACTGGTCTTCTCCGAGTGCTGTGAAGTTGTGCCGTTGTTCATGTTGCCTGTTTAGCTGTTTAGCCCTCATGTTTTTGGTGAGTAGGTCCAAGGGGGACCACGAATGGCATTGTTGCCTTTTGCTGATGGCGAGTGATAGGGTACTTGTAGGGGGCCTAGCCATCACTTGGGGTCAGTCGGGCTTCATGGAGATTGCATGTGCGGAGATGATGCAGTGAGCGTGAACACAGAACCTTTATCCCTTGCCACAATTCGAGGACTTGGGTGCATTGCTGGAAGAGGCACGACAAGGAGAGGCACGATGGGCGACTTGGCTGAGTTTGTTTCAGTTGGCTTCGTTTTTCTGAAACCATTATACAAGGTATTCGTGCGGATTGGATTGTGTTTGATTCCGGCTTCCTTCTTGTCGCAATCTTATGCCTGATAGTTTTAAGGTTGTGGCCTCGTTCTTCTCGATTGTTGTGGCCTCGTGCTTCTCATTTGTAACAATCCCCATGCAATCTTCCAGGGGGATCCCCATTTCCTTAGTAATCCCCTATCTAGATTATATGTACTCATGGATACATGTACACATGTATAGAAACCTTGTGTGCATACGCCTTGATACACACAAACGTATACCTGTGTGAAAAGAGATGGTAATATATATATATATCTATCTATCTATATGTACATATATATATACACACACATCTCTCGCTCCCGCTCCCTCTCGCTCTCACTCTCTCTCTCTCCCTGTGTGCCCGCTAAACCCTAAACACCTGAAAACCCAGATCCCCTAAACCCTAAACCAAAGTAGCAGCCAGGCAAAGGTTGCTCAGCAGCTGTACGGCCTCCTGGTGGAGCGGGGCCTCGACACGGATCTGAAGCCGTAGCTCCGTTTCTACACCTGGCGCATAGTAGGGAATGAGTCACCGAATCCCTATAGTAGCTTGAGAAAATCTCTATATATATATACATGTGTATTTATATATATTTACATACATACATAGACGTCACGTACTTAGTATAGGATTGCCTGCGCTCTCAAAATAATGGCCCAACCTGCAAGCAAGATTCCGCAAGTGCTAAGACCGGCGCATGGCCATCATGTCAAAATGTGGCTGTCTGAACTCTCTGGGCTCCTTCTTTCTGGGGGTCCGCATGCTAAGGGTTGGAGCTTTCATTTGGATTCTCCATTGTCCCAATATTACCTCATGATGCCCCAACATAACCTCTTCTATATTACCCATTATCCCAATACAACCCCAATAATATAATTCCTATAGCCTGAGACCTAGGCAAATGACTTGTACTCAGACATAGAACTGGAGGGGTTGGGATTCAAAAGACTCTTAATCTTTGACGAGTTCTTCATCCAGGTCTCACAGACAAGGGTTCTTCACCAGGCCAGACCCCCCCCCTCACCCCACATAGTAGTTTCCATTTTCTTTTCCATTATCCCCATAATATGATAGCCCCTATAGAATCCCTATAATCCCCATATAACCCTTACATAACCCCACCTTCCTTCTTTTCGCATTTTGCAGCTGCTGTTCATCCCGGGCGGATCCCACAAAAGTCCTGATTGGAGAGCATGAGAATCGGGAAGGGGAAGAGCAAGCTTCCCCCCAATACTCCGTGGCTTGCCACAATGTCTGCTACAGATTGTACGAGCCTTTCGCAACATATCTACCTGGTATGAGAACCCCAGTCATGCTTAGGACATGGTTTGAGGTTCGCTTTGCTCTTTAAAAGTCTTCGGGGTGTATGGCTTGGCAGCTGTATTAGGGGGTTGTGTTCAGGGCGGCCTCTACGTTTTCTGTCGGAGAGCTAGTTCTGTCGCAACAAGGGGCCGTAGGTACACCTTTAGCCCCTTAACCTGAACCCTACACCCGTCAAGCTTTCAAGCCATCTCAAGTCCGATAGACGTCCTTTACACCGTGCGTTTCGCGCTTAAGCTTAGGCCATGCTTTTGGCCGCTGAACACGGCCATTCGGACGTGAAAGACTCAGATCTCAGCATGTATGGTGTACTGTGGATACTAAAAAACCCAACATGGCCTATAAACTATGGAGTCCAAACCTTGGGAAATATGGTATTTTGCTTCACCAAGGTCGTGCAGGGTTTTGTAGTATCAACAGTAGTTTGAGTTGAGCGGTTGAGGCGTCAGGGTTATCAAAGGCTTTAGGAGGGCTTTAGATCTAACGCAGGCTTCAGAACAGGGATTCAGTGCGATGTTCTTGCAAAAGGGGTCTCTGCGCAATTCCTCACAAAAATGCATGACATCAGGAGTCAAAGGAAGCGCTCCAAGAGAGACCTTCACTGTTGCACATGCTGACCTAGTATTCCAGGTAAACGTACGGATAGCCTTCGCGTGGAAGTTTGATGACCCTTCGGAAGAAACATATTCATTTTGTTGTGGTTGACTTGTGGGATCAACTTGTTCAAGCTGAGTTGGATGATGGTGGGTTCTCTCGTTACGCATCTTGCTTGTATCCTTAGTGGTGGTACTCCCGCTCCGCCTCCTGCTGCTGTTGCCGCTACTGTCCACTTGTCTGCTGCTGCTGCCGCTCCTGCTCCTGCTGTTGCTCCTGCTGCTGCTGCTTCCGATCCCGCTGCTGCTGATTCTGCTGCTATTATTGCTACATTTGCTGCTGGCACTGCCGCTGCTTGTACTACGTACTACCAGTATTGCTAAGCACTAATGGTTCTAGCACAAGTACTCGGACTTGGCACCACCAAATCTTGGACCACTTCATGGACTCAAATCGGTTCCCAGGTGGTCCAGACCCTTCTATTCGCCAATGCTGACCTGGATCCAAGTAAGGGCACGACATGCCGCCACCTCAGCTTCACATGCAGATGCGCGCAGGGAGCATCGCCTTCCTGAATTCAAGCAGCATAAGGTACCCTTTTTTGGAAACCAAAGGGGCGGGCACAGGTTATTAAGTTGCCCTTCCAAGTGAGAGTCCTATACGATTCCTGATATATTTGGAAATATGGGGGAATATCATAGGGCTTTATAGAGGATACTAAGAGTTGAGACATTGGCTTACGTGGCATGGCAAAAGCAGGCCCTTCTGTAGTTGTCCAATGTAGTTCGGCCTCCAGCTGCGAGATTCGCAAAGTACCAAAGTTCTGAAATGTGGTTGATCGGGTTGCTTTTTGGCGAAATGGCTGTCACAAAGAAGCATCCTTCCACACAATAGGCCAAACGAGGTTTTCTCCTGCCGTTGACAAGAAAGCTTGCGTGATAAGCCCCTTTTCGGCACGGGTATTGTAAGCAACATGCAGTGCTACTCCGCTTGTTCTAAGTATTCGAGGCGATTTTTGGCAACGGCCACCGCTTTGAATGTGTTTACCTGTATTTACTGATTCTCACATGATGGCAAGCAGCTGTTCAACCTTCCGAGGTCCAGGTGCCATCTATCTGGCAGAGCTGAACCAAAGATTAGGGGCTTTGTGCTCAGATGCCCGCCCACTTTATCATAGTAGCGCTTCAGACATTCTTTGGGCTTGGGGGTTCGGAATTGTCAATGGCTTTATCGGAGTTGATCTTGAAAGCTTGGTAAGGCGATATGGGGGCTGCAGTTCCACTGCAGAGTAAGAGCTTTTTCTTGAACATGTCGAGGTATACGTGGGTTATAAGGATGTGACAGAACGGTTCTGGCTCAGGAAGTGGGGATCTAGCACATTCAGGAGCAGTTCTCACTCAACTTAGGTTATGGATAGCCTGTACCATCCATGGACCTCCAACCATGCGTTCGCCATGGTGGTTTAAGGTTGTGCTGCTTCGAGCCCAAAACCTGAAGTCTGTCCAGGAATTCAGGTTCCAAATGCAAGAAAAGAGGAGGGCTCACACTAGTTAGAAGGTTCTGAGGAACAATGCAAACTCCAGACCCCTCAAAGCTGCGTGCTAAAAAAAGACAGCGGTAACAAAATTGAACATGTTCGGCCCACTCCCAATCAGAAACGAGCATCCTGCAAATCATGCCGTGTTCTTCACAGTCGCATCCAGCCCTGCGCTCGCTTAACCTGGATTTGCCTATCCGGTGAAGACGTTGCCGTCCACATTTCAAGGTCAGGGTCTGAAAAGAGAGGTCTTGTCTGTCCGACACGGAGTTGGATCCCCAAATCAGCCACTCGTCAATCATAATCCCTAGACGTTAGGAGGACCCCCCACCTTGTAATAGTGGTATAATAGGAATATAATAGGACCCTAGTATAATCCTTATTATCCCTTAAAGTAACTATTACTGGGTGGGGGGTCCACCTAACCTAGACCCCCCTAAACCCTAAACCTAAACCCTATATAACCCCATTATAGTAGCATTATAGTAGTTTCCATTTTCTTTTCCATTATCCCTATATTACCCCAATATACTCCCCATTCCAATGAGTAAAACCCTAAAGCCTATAGCCCCCCTTCAGTAGATAGAATATGGTTTTGGGGTATATTATAATAAGATCCCCATATACCTCATATTCTATCTACTTAAGGGGGACTATATTCCAATGAGTGATCCCCAACTTGAAGAAGCTGCATCCCTCAGCCTAAGATGCTCCAAAAAGTACCGAACTCATCAAACAGAAAACTGGGTTGCTGTTAAGG